CTCCTCTCGTTGTGAAAATCGGGGAGCAAAGAGTGATACAATCATATACACTGTCGGAGGTCCGTGCAGATTCTCGGATCGGCGCTGGAGCCCCCTGGCGGCGCCACCGGCGCCGCCCCTGGCGCGCTCCGCGCGCCAAGGAGGGGGTTCCAACGCCAACCCAAGAAACCCGTGAGGACCTCCTGAAGTTATGTTTACGTCGTTGTTTGTTCCTCGCGGCTGCCCCTCGACGACCCCCTCGCGAGGCCTGGCAGGGTCCACCAGCTCGTGGCCGTGGCCGTCGGCGATGCATCGGCGCCATCGGCGTGAAGAAATTCTGACTCCACATCGAGCTGCATCGTCGATGCATCGGCGATGTGGAGCGATCCTGCGACCCCATCTACTCCGACCCCATCTGGGATGCCTAGATTAGGGCGAGAATGATGTCACGATAAGATTGACTCACGATACTTTCCAGGATTTCCAAATGACCCGGTGCGGAACATTCGGACATCTAGGAAATCCTGGAAATCTTCAAAATCATGGAACGAATCATTACCGGGATCTCCTGCTCCTCTGGGCCTCGTGATGGGTGCTCTGGAGACCGCGAGAGCATCCTTGGAAATCCTGGGGACACCTTGGGCCAAGGGCACTTCTAGCAACACCCCATCTGGGAGGCCTAGATCAGCACAGGAACGACGAGGCGGGAGGCGGGAGGAGCAGGGAGGGGGGAGAAGGCGGAGCGGAGGAGACCCTCATCACCGATGCCGACGACGACGGCGACGCCGACGACGACGCTGACGATGTCGACGACGACGCAGACGATGTCGACGACGACGCTGGCGATGTCAACGACGAGGCTGACAACGCTGACGACGCTGACGACGCTGACGCTGACTTTGACGCTAACGCTGACGACGACGACGACGACGGCCATCTACTCGGACTCCCATCTAGGAGGCCTGGGACCCTCGACGACCCACTCGCGAGGCCTGGCGGGGTCCACCGGCTCGTGGCCGTGGCCGTGGCCCTCCTCGGCGTGGCCCTCGGCGCCGTGGCCCTCCTCCGCGTGCACCGCCCCGAGGTCGTGGCCCTCGGCGTCCTCCTGCTCCTCCTGCTGCTCCTCCTCCTCCTCCTCCACCTCCTCCTCCTCCTCCTCCTCCTCCCTCCTCCTCCTCCTCCTCCTCCACCTCCACCTCCACCTCCTCCTCCTCCTCCTCCTCCTCCTCCTCCTCCCCCTCCTCCGCCCCTCGCCCGGGACTTCTGGGGACCTCGTCGCCGTGGCCCTCGTCGGCGTGGCCCTCGGCGTCGTGGCCCTCCCCGCCGTGGCCCTCGGCGGCGTGGGCTGCCGCCCCGGCGGCGACCGCCGCCTCGGCGCCGTGGCCCTCCTGTGGGGCGGCGGAAGCTGGGCGCAGCCGCCGCTCCAGGGCCGGGGCCTGGCCAGAGCCCAGGCAGCGGCGCCTGGGCCGCGCCCTCCCCGCACTTCCCGGGAGGGCAGTGGGCACAGCTCCCGGGAGGGGCCTGGCCAGGGGGGCGGCGGAGGTGCCAGACGTGGAGATGGGCGCCGTCGCCCGATCCTGTCGGGGAGAGAGGAGCACGGGAGCGACGAAGACACAGGGGTCCCGACCGAACGAACGCCTGTAGCGCGTGCTCGCTCCAGGAACACGTGTCCCCACGTCGGGCCATCGGCAAAGCACGGGGTCCGCAGACCCTTCCCTTCCTCGGTAGAGAAAGGGTGCGGAGCGTCTTGTGCAGCATCCTCGTGAGGGACGCGTTTCAGGTTGCGAGGAATGAATGAGAGTATGTAAGCATTGATCTTGCGTGTGCTCTCTCGATGATGATGCGCCCCGCGCTCATAATCCTTTGCAAACAAACGGGGCACGGAGGCCCCATGAGGCCCTTGGAGCGCGGACGCAGGGTAAGTGACTCGTGATCGTGACCCTGGGAGCGGGGACGCAAGGCAATACATGTACATTTACATGTGTAATATATGGGATCCTGGCCCTTGGAGCGCGGACGCAACGTCATGCACTGAGAAACTTGGCCCTGGGAGCCCAGGCGCAACGTAATTTATGAGGGATCGTTGCCCTTTGAGCGCGAACGCAGCGTAACTTACTAGGGATAGTGGCCCTGGAAGCGCGGACGCAGCGGACGCATTATGAGTTGCGAGGGGTCCTGGCGTTGGAAGCGCGGACGCAGCATAGTTTGCCTTTGGTTGCGGGGCTGGGAGCGCGGATCCAGCATAACTTAAAAGTGGTCGTGGCGCTGAGAGTTCGAATCCGGGGTAATTCACTAAGGATCATGGCTCTTGGCGCGCGGACCCACCGAAATGTACGAGGGAGCGTGGCCCTGGGAGCGCGGATCCAGCGGAGAAGCCTTCCAGGGCAAGACGGCTCGTCCTCAAGTGCGCTCTGTGGCACGCCCCTTGGCGTTTCCTTGCGGACGTCCCTTGGCCTGCGTGACCCCTAGCATGTCTGCGGCTCGTCCCCTGGCACAATCCGTGACGCATCCACTGGGATCGTGGCCCTGGGAGCACGGATCAATCGGAGAAGCCTTACAGAGCAAAGTGGCTCGTCTCCTGGTGCGTTCCGTGGCAGGTCCCCTGACACGTCTGCGGCTCGTAGGGACGTTCGCTGGTGTCCCCTGGTGCTGCCCTTGGAAAGCCCCCTGTCGCGTCCACTGCCATGTCCCCCCGCGCGTGCACTGGCGCGTCCCGTGGCACGTTCCCTGGCGCGTCCTCTGACGCGCTCTGGCTCGTCCTCTAGCGGTTCCTCTGCCCGATCCGTGGCGTACCCCGTCACGTTCCTTGCCGCGTCCCCTTGCGCGTCCATTGGCGCGCCCTCTGGCCTGACGTCCCCAAATACGCCCACGTGCTTTGTAGAAAAGACGCCGGCCCTGAGATCGCGGGAACTACGTGATTTACGAAGGGAATTGGCAGTGGGAGCGCGGACTCAGCGTACAGTCAATCCGCTGCCAGAGGGAACGCCAAACAAGAAGCTAACACAAGAAGCGGCCGAGCTCCTTTCTGGAGTCGTTCTCTCGTCGTGGCCTCTCGTTTTGACAATGACCCCTGCCTCTGCCGAAGCCCAAGTGGCCCAACGGGGGCCCGCAGCTCGAAAACGACAAGAGGAGGCGCCACTGGCGGACACCGCGCAGGGAGCGGCAGGGGCCGAAAAGAGCGCGGGACGCACGGAGGGCGAGAGCCCCGACGGCCCCCTGGCCACCACCGAAACTGCATCGATCGCAAGGAACCGATGGGGCTAGCGCGAGACATTGGGTCTTCTCGTAACTACTTGTGTGTATATATATATATGTATTTGTGAATACTGCGACGTGGACGTAGAAGCGCGCCGCGCAGGGAACCGAAAGGCCTGTGCGGGGATCTGGGCCGTATCGCGACCACGCTTTTACTTGCTCGGTTCTGCACGTGGGTCTCCGAGCGCGCGCCAGAGGGAACTGCCCGAGAAGGACCCGCGGCACATGATCTTCGCGGCGTCGCAAAAAACCTGGCCACTGTTCGGGGCTCCGCTCCTCAGATCCTCCGCCCCGTCCAGGGAACCCGCGCCACGTTATCTTCGCGTCGCAAGGAGACCGGCCACTGTTCGGGGCCCCGCTCCTCAGATCATCCTCCCCGTCCGGCGAGCAGACGCTGAGCGAGCCATGGCCCAAGGAACGCCAATAGGGGGCTCCGCGGCAGAGCAAGGAGGGAACGCAAGCAGACCCGGGGAGCCATCCAGCCCCACTCCGAACCCGACCTGGAACATATCAGGTCAGCGAATTGCCTGCAATGTGCACAGGGACGTGGTCTCGTGAGCGCGGGCGCAACGGTAATGTACGGGGGATCGTTACCCTTTGAGCGCAGACGCAACATAAACTACTGGGGATCGTGGTCCTGGGAGCACAGACGTAACGTAACTTATGGGCGACCATGGCCTTGGGAGCGCGGACGCACCGTTTACGTGCTATCATTGTGTGTGGCACCATCAACCTGCACTCCCCGTGCCTCTTGTTTGTTATGTGCACCCATCTGCCATGTACCGTTCACGTGCAACCTTGTATACCGTCTACGAGCAGCCTGCTAAATAGGAGCGCGAACCCATTGAACAATATGAAGGATCGTAGCCCTGGGAGCGCGGATCCAGGCGAGAAGACTTGCAAAGCAAGGTGGGCCGTCCCATGGCTCGTCCCCTGAACGTTCCGTGGCACGTCCCTGGCGCGTCCCATGGGTCCCCTGGCTTGTTTTTCCCATGTCACGTCGAGCACAACACAATTCAACACAATATGAAACAACACAGTTCACGGCATATCGTGGCACATCGCAACAAGGCCCAGCCTTCGGCACAGCATCGTCACCAAAGACACCTCAACACTGCCACAATGCATTGCCCAATTCAAGGCAATTCTGTATCCTCTTCCGGGTTCGTGGGTTGATCATGCCTTCTGGAAGGTTAGGGGTTGGAGAAACTTTCGGAGGCCTGGGCCAGAAACCGCGCCGATCAAATACATGGGGCACTGGAGAATTCCGGGATAACTCGGGTCCAGGGCAACTCCAACTTGGGCCTCTGGTGCACGAACCAAGGATTACCCCTCACCACCTCCAACCCAAATGACTCAGTAGTGGTAGGACGCCCGAATGATCCGGGATAACTCCGATCCTGTTTGGGCCCGCGGGGCACGAATCAGGAGCTACCCCTGACCACCGTCAGCCCTGATGATGCGTGGCTCTGAAAAAGTCCGCGCGGACCTCCTAAAATTAGGTCGGGCCTGTCCCCCTACAGGGGGATTTTGGACGAACAATAAAAAATACAAGAAAAATGATCCAACATGCTCAACACTTGTCAAAAATGGTCACAACATCGTCCCCAGACTATTGTTTTACTATTTTTGAATTTTCCTCCTGTATCGGGGCAAGCCCAACGTAATGCTACACCTGACCACCGGCAGCCCTGATGATTCAGGGCTCTGCAAAAGTCCGCGCGGACCTCCTAAAATGTCTGCTCAAGCCGCCTCTTGTGCTTCGATCCTCCGCGTCGTGCGCCGCCTCGGCAGTGTCGCCGTGCGCCTGGCGAGGGGCTCGTCGTCGCTGCCGCCACCGTCGCGGCAGAGGTCGTCGCCGTCGTCGTCGTCGTCGTCGTCGTCGTCGCCGTCGCCGTCGCCGTCGCCGTCGCCGTCGCCGTCACCATCGCCGTCGTCGCTGTCAACGTCGCCGCTGGCGACGCGGGCCGATTCCCTAGGGATTCCGAAGGATTCTCCAAGGATTCCTGAGGGAATCTTAAGGATTCCCATGCGATTCCTGGGGGAATCCTAAGGATGCCCTAAGGGTTCCTTAGGGAGACCGAAGGATTTCCGAAATATTCCCCTGAGGACCGAGGAGGGCAGCGTGCAGTGGGACCAGCCGCCGCGGCGGAGGAGATGGTGGCGCTGGGAGGGCGGAAAGGGCAGAATCTGTTGTTCCTTGGTCGCCGAGTGATGGGGGAGCGATGAATGGGGCCCCGGAAACGGCGGGGCCGTTTTTCACCGCTTCCGAAAAAGAGCCCCTTGAAAATGGAAACGGCAAAGAAACGGCGACAGGAGACGGCAACAAAAAGCGGCTCCAAGATGGGAACCGGAGCGGGAACACGTAAAAGAACGGCGACGGAACGGGTAAAACACGGCGTCGGAACCGGCAAAAAGACGGCAAAACGGAACCGGTAAAACAACGGCCCTGTCGTTTCCAGGGCCCAACAAGCTCAGGACCAGCTCTGGGGTCCTACGGGGCTACTTGAAAGGTCCTGAAAGGCTCCATTTCTGAGGCCCTCGCTGCCCCCGCATTTATCGTCAGCTCGGTACGCGACGCCCAAGTTCCCCAGGCAAGCAGCTGTGGTCACCAAGGGCCCGTGGGGGTGGTAAGAAACGGCTCTGGCCGAGGGCCCCCATCACAGGAGCAGTGTCAGCACCCAGAAGCGGTCAGGCCCGCTCCCGAGCTGGCCAGGCTTGGGGTGGCCTGGCTAGTTCCTGTCGAGACATCTTCGCCGAGGCTTCGCCGTCGCTCGGACGTCCACTCCCCGTGCATTCTCGTCGGCGTCGTGCGCGCATATCCTCTCGCACAAGGTGGCCCCAAAAAGGCTGCTCGGTGGTCCTCGCAGAGAAGAAGTGCACACGCCGAGCGATGCCAAAAGGACAAGGGCTTCCGCATAAAGGGGGTATAACGTCAGAGCGCCCACTCGGGCGATCTACGCGCTATTGCCAAAATCCCCTGCGATTTGTTGTGCTACGCCCTGCCTTCTCACAAGGGCCGGCAGGGGTTATACCCCGTAGCTCAATGACCGAGCCCCGAGGTAACGATGCCAAAAGGGGGAGGGAGGAGGCGCAGAAACTCTCCGATCGAGCCACGCAAGTCATGGTAATGATAGGATCAGGGATTCAGAGGATCAACCCCGGATTTAGAACATCCGTTTTTGAGCGACGCAATTTCAAACATCCGTTTCGCTTTGGCCAATTATCGCTGTTCAAGCAGAGGCACGCGTGCCAAATATCATACAATCACGGAAACAGGACAATGGGAGATGGAGATGGCGCCAACCTGCTGTTACAGTTTCGGGGAAGCGCGCGAATGCTGCGACACGATGGCGAGAAATCATGACAGGGGAGCGGCGAATAGCAGCATGGCTGTGGACGCAGCGCCACGTTCGATCCGAAGGCGGTTTTAATATGACGGGAGAGGTTTGCGAGGCTTCAACGGCGCGTTTTATAATGCAGGCCACCTGTATGGAGCGAAACGCTTGGACCCAAGGGGGGGGAGCGCGGGGGCATGCGTAGCCAAAATCCGCCACTGTGTCTTCAGCGCGCTGTTGAGTGATATGCAGCCCTGAGAGGCAATTTTGGGGGTCCCGAAACGGTGCGGTGACGGACCGTGCGGTGACCTCGAAATCCCCCAAGACCTCACCGCACGGTCCGTCACCGCACGGTTTTGGGACCTCGGAGGCCCCTGTCGCCCGAGACGTCCTCGGAGGACGACCCGAGTCCCAAAACCGTGCGGTGACCCGGAATCCCCGCCGACTCACCGCACGGTGTGGTCACCACACCGTTTGGGGGGCCCCGAGGGTTGTCAGGTTCAAGAGGGCCCGGGCCCTTGATTTCCCAGGCACTCTTGCGCGCTCCTGCGCGGGCCCAGGGTGTGTCGCGTGGGCTTTTGGGCGCCACGAAGGCCCGAAGACGGGCCAAGAGGGCCCCCAGAGACTCCCAAGACGGTGGAAAAGGGCACCGAATCGTCGAACGATCGGTCCAAGACGCCCAAGATGGCCTCCAGACGGCCCAAGATGCCCCAAAGACGCCCCAAGAGGCCCTCAAGAAACCTTTTCGAGAGGGCCCCAAGATACAACAACACACACATATATATATATATATATATATACATATATATATATATATATGTATACATAGTGTTGACAAATGTTTGAGAGATTGCTCGCTCTCGGGAGCCCTGGTGTGAAGAATCTGTTACGTCACTGTGAGCTCGTCGGAACCATACTGCAATTCGGCGCCACGGTCCGTCGGCAGGAGTAAGCAGAGGACGGGGGGGGGGTCCACGCGGGGAACGAGGGGGGGGCAGCGGGGGGGCACGGTCGGGCCCGGTCGGGCACGGTCGGTCGGTCGGGACGAGCAGGCCGGGGGGCAAGGGGGAAAGGGGGGAGCACGGGGGGCCACGGACGGGCAGGGGGGGGTTAATTACGGCCGGTCGGTCGTAAGAAGCAGAGGGGGCTGGGCACGAGGGGGGGGGGGTGCACGGGGGGCCACGGTTGAGCAGAAGGAGGGGCACGGTCGGTCGATCGGAATAAGCAAAAAGGAGGGGCACGGGGGGGGCACGGTACGGTCGGGCAGGCGGAATAAACAGACGAGGGCCACGGGGCGGAGGGGTGCGGGGGGGAGCAGGGGGGCGGGAAAGCACGGTCGGGCAAGGGGGGCGTGGCACGGTCGGTCGATCGGTCGGAATAAGCAGGCGGGGGGCCACGAGGCGGAGGGGCGCGGGGGGGCACGGTCGGTCGGTCGGAATAAGCAGACGGGGGCCACGGGGCGGAGGGGTGCGGGGGGGAGCTGCGGGAAGGCACGGTCGGGCAAGGGGGGGGCACGGTCGGCCGGTCGGTCGGAATAAGCGGACGGTGCCCACGGGGCGGAGGGGTGCGGAGGGGCAGGCAGAGCACGCGGAGGCGGCACGCATCCCAACGCACATCTTGGGCCAGAGACCCTAGACCGCAGCACACCCAGGCCACACCCCAGCACGTATCCCAGCACACGAAGGCAGCGCACATCCCAGCACGTATCACAGCACACGGAGGCACCACTCAGCCCTGCACACATCCCAGCACACGAAGGCGGCACCCGTCCCAGCACAGATCCCAGTCCGGCGCACATCCCAGGCACGGTCGGTCGGCCGGTCGTAATTGTGCAAAGCGAGATCACGCCGGTAGGTATGATAACAAAATATTTTGAGAACGCGCGTTTATTCATTACCATGACCTGTGTTAGCCGGTGGCTCTCGTTCTCCCTCCGCAGCATGCGCCAGTCGAGCCCGTGGCCGCGCGAAGGCCGACCTGCAGCGAACAAGGCGGGCCCGCCGGCGACACCCTGGCCCGTAGAGCTCCGCCGGTGAAACACGTGCTGCAGGAGGAGGACGACGACGAGAGGCAGCCGGGGGGGTCTGAGATGGATAGAATTACACCAGCGAGAACTCCCAAGCAGTGGATGATAAGAAGATCGACCGGGAACCCGGGAACCCAGAACCCAACGAAGTCGGCCCCGAACCAATAACAAAAAGCCCGGGAATCCGGAACCGGGAACCCGGGAGCCCAGCCGGCCACCAAAATCGGCGCGGGACACTTTGGCCACATCTTTCGATTTCCGCAAGGACCCCTTCGGTGCAAGCATTGATTGGGGGAGATCGGTCAAGAGGGGGGACGAGGGTAAACCAGCTCAAAATCGGTCCGCGCACCCTTTCCTGGGGTCGAAACTGACGAGCTGTTCGAGCCGCGCCCAGCCGTAACGACAAAGGGGGTCTCTTCTCTCCCCTTTTCTGCTGTGCGATAGCGTGGCTCGCTCGATGTCGGCCGAGTCCGGGCCCCTGATGGCGTTCAACCTTGAACGCCCGCCGCCGTATCAACGCAGCGCGAGCCTACTGAAAAGGGAAAACCAGAGAGAGAGAGAGAGAGAGATCGTGATCGCGAATTACTCTCTAGACCTCTCCCAAGGTGCGTTCGGGCTCGGATCCCGAAGCGGATCCAGCGCGAAGACTATGCAAGAGTAGCGATATCGGTACGTTTCCCCATCTGACAATTTACGTTGCTCCCCATATTCTCGTGCACCAGTGCAAGCGACCGCAGCATGTGCATGAAATGCGTGCCACTGGACAGGACAAACAGAGTAGTTGTGCGTATCGCACCCCCACCGCCCCGCATCCTCACTTGCATGTTTTCGCCCCCTGTCCCAAAGGAGGCGAAAGGAGGAGCAGGAGAACGACGGGGAGGAGGACGGGGAGGAGGAGGAGGAGGAGGAGGAGGAGGAGGAGGAGGCAGTTGGTGGTTGGGGCAGGGTTGGTGGGCTTCTGTCATCGACACCATCCGCCCTGAGTCACGCCCTCCTGGCCGAGGCCAGGGGGCTCTGAACACCATGCCAGGGCCCGGCATGGCCCCGGCCTGGCGCGGTGGTGGTGCACAGACGCCTTCGTCGGGCAGCCCCCCCCCCCCCGGCGCCGCCCCCGAAGGACGCGGCCGGCTCGGGTGGCCCGGCCCCTGCAGCGGGGGCAGCCGGCTGCTGCAGGGGCACGCGTGCCGAGCGGGCCCGGGGCTCTGCTCTCGAGGCGGGCTCTCTCGCGGGCCGTCTCTGCTGCCCCCGCTCTGGCTCTCGGAGTTCCAAGGGGCTCCGCCTTTCATCCAGCCTCCTCCTCCCTCCCCTCCATGCCTGCTCTTTCTCCATCCGTCGCCCCTTCCCTCCCTCCTCAGCCCTCCTCCGTCCTCCCACTGAGGCCCTCTTCCCGTCCCCCTCCATCCTCCCACTGAAGCCCTCCTCCCCGCATCCTCCGTCCTTCCCACCTCCTCTGGGACGCACAGGGACATACTAATACCATAAGTATGTCCTCCTTGGAGGCGCGCGCCCGACCCGAAAATATAGCATACCCATCTTGTAGTAGATCGTTTCCCGAGCGGTGTGGCCAGAACGCGCCCGCCACGACGCAGGTACTATAAGATTTCTCGGTGCGCGCATCGCCCCCAGGGGGGCGACGCACATATATAGTATGAGAAAGTGGGGGTGACGCCGATCCTCCCCCTGGCGGATCTGGCGGATCTGAGAAGGCCTCACGCACAAAGCACACTTGACCTTCGGACTCTGGCCAGCGGGGGGGGGGGCCCATCCCGCCCTCCCGTCCATCCCGGTCAGGCGCCCCTCTTCACAATTACACCATATGAGTACTACTCTCCTCTCTCCCCTGAGTATGTTCGGCCCCCTCCGCGTACTGTTTTTGTTACACAGGCTTGCCAGGAGTGTAGTTTTCACATGTGTTCTTGACCATCCGATTCGATTCGGTCCTTCAGAATGTTGCTCCCGCTGCAACGCTGGCCCCTTGTCTGCGCCTCTGGTCATTCCAAATCGTGCCCCCGCTGCAGCGCGGGCTGTTCCTTTCGAGTTAATCCAGAATCTACGGAATGACCCCCCCCCGGGGAAACATCGGGAGTGATTACACATCCGGTGTCGATTCGTTGATTTTTGGGGCCGCAGAAGCCTCCCCCTGTCGGTCTGAGGAAGTATCAAGCGGGAGCCCCGTTTCTGCTTCGAGAAGGCGATGCTGAAAGCAGGGGTAGCGGGTGCTCTCCATCAGCGCCGCCTCGCGGGGACCTTTCCGGGGAGCCAAGGGAGCTGAACATTGATCCGCGACTTCAGACCAGCCGAAGACCTCTCGAGGGACGATCAACTTACCCTCCAAGGAACCCGGCGCCATGCCATGACATGCAGCTCGGTGCTGTGTTCTGTGCCGCTGTGCGATGCCACCCTTTGCGTTACCATACTTTGTGATGCAATGCTTCACTACGCAATGCCACGCCATTCTACGCTCTGCAGTGCTCTTGTACGCCATGCTATGCCGTGCTCTACCATGCATCGCATACCCTCCCGGGACCATTGCCCTGCTCGAACTCCGACTGTGCGAACGGAGAGGAGATCCACGCCATGGGAAGAGATGGGATGGAGGGGTCGGACGTCAGATACGACGCTAGCGCACCTGTCTTGCCATCGGTCTGGCATGTCCTCCTACACGCGGATTGTGGACGAAATATGAAAAGTAACCAAACATGTACAAAATAAATATTCAAACATACCCATCGCATCGTCCCCGGACTACTCATTAAAAAACAATGTTGGGATCCTCCTCCTGTAGAGGGGCACGCCCGACTTAAAGCTGGCTTGCCCTCCCCCCCTCCCTCAGACCCTCCCTCCGTCAAGCAGTGGCGAAGCGTCCTGGCTCGCCTATAGCCCTACCAAACAATGTCTAGGAGCCCCTTGTGGTTTCCACGAAATGCTCCTAGAATATTTCTGGCGGAGTCTGTCTTGCTTTATCACATCGGGCTCATGCTCTGAGAACATTGCTGTTGTTCTTGGAACATTTTTGCGCTCTAAGAACATTCCGTGGTAGGACTACAGGAATGCCGGGACGGTCGGCCCCTGCTCAACTCCGAGGCCCTCCCGCCGAGGCCCTCCCGCCGAAGCCCTCCGAGAGGAGCGGCCCCGCGAGGCCTCCCGGGGGGCGGCGCCCTCCTCGCCGGCCTCCTCGCCGGCGTCCTCTCCGCCGGCGCCCTCCTCGGCGGCCTCCTCGCCGGCGCCCTCCTCGGCGGCCTCGCCCTCCTCGGCGGCCTCCTCGGAAGCCGGGCGAGGGCTGCTGATTCGGTGGCTGCTAAAATCGACCTCCGGGAAATCGTCTTCGGCCTTCCGGGAAGTGCCGCGCCTCCTTCCGGGAAGCTGCTTTTTCTCCTCCCGGGAGGGCCGTTTTAGCAGCCACGGTTCTAGCAGCCCTCGCCTGGCTTCCGAGGCTCACCCGGGTCAGCCAGAAGGGGTCTGCGCAGGATCCTGCAGGATCAAGACCCCCGTTTGCATGGACCCCCGTCTCTGGAGCCCCGATCCTCGCCGGCGCCCTCCTCGGCGGCCTCGCCCTCCTCGGCGGCGGCGGCGGCCTTCTCGGCGGCCGCGGCGGCCTCCGGGTCCTCGGGCACCCACACGAGGTCCAGCGGCGCCGCGTGGGCGCCGGGGGCGGGCGCGGGGACCTGCGTGGCGGGGGGAAGGGGGGGGCACGCGGGGGCACGGGCTTTCTTTGCAGGGGCCCAGGAGGGAAATCGGGCGTGTGCACCCCTGCAGGGGGATGTTTTGGCGAGAAGCGAAGCAATAGTGACAAACATGCCCCCAGAGATGCTCAAACATGGTCAAAACATAGTCCCCTGGCTACTTTTTAATAACAATTTTGAAGTATGCCCCCTGCAGAGGGACGGGCCCGACGAAGCCCGGGGGTTCGGGAGAGCACCCCCGAGGCAGGCACAACCCGTGTAGGTGAGGATGCGCGAGGAGGGCGCAAGGGCCCTGGACGCCCATGGCGGGGCTTCTCGAGCGGGGCGCGGCCGACGAAGGTGGCGAAGGATGGACCTCGGAGGCAAGGCTGCCAGGGTCCCCGCTGGGAAGGAGGTTGCCCGTCCTTGCCATGCGGGTGGTCTGTACACCCAGACCCCCGAGGCCGCCCGGCCCGGCGGCGGAGCGCGCCGCGTCTGTGCGGAAGTGGGGCCCGTCGCTGGTCCACGCGCCCGGATCCATCTCGGACGCCCGACGTGGATGCAGACAACAGTCAAGGGGCCCCAGGACACACACATAAATATACACACACAACACACAACACACACACACACACACACCCAAATACACACATAAAATGATTCCCCATATTTTTCTATATTTTAGTTTTTTTGTCTTCCCGCCCAATTCCCATATTTTCCCATATTTTCCTGGGAGTCGACGATGAATTGCGTCTGTGTGTGAGTGTGTGTGTGTGTGTGTTTTCCCTCCTGAAACATGGGCACAATGCCCCAAACAACAAAAATGCCGCCCAAGACTAACAGCGGCCGCTGTTGGGCAGGCGGTTTCCTGTCTTCGGTGAGCAGCGTGCGTGGCGGCGCGGACAGCGAGGCCTGTCCAGAACGAACAGGAACTGTTGTTGTGCGTCGCTCGGGGGGACGAAAGGGGGGGATAGCAAAGGGTAGGGTAGAACAGCAGCTCACGTAGCTGATTTTCCCATCGCCTCCTGGCGCCGGGAGGCGCCCGTGTATCGAGGAATGGGTCCGGCGGCGGGGCCGAAACCAGCTGCATGCAGCAGATTTCGTGACCCGCCCTTTCCCTATCCACCCCATTCGTTCGGCCCGAACATAAGACAAAGACAAGACGAGGATAACGTCGGGTGAGGGTAAATCGGGAATCTCTGGGATCCGGCGGCGCTGGCGGATGTCTCGGGCGCCGCGACCTTCTCAGAGCGATCCGGAACGCTCTGGAAAGGACTGATCCTTGTCCTAGCCCCGCCCGAAAGAAGGATGAGGCCTTTTCAGGAGGCTCGAAGTTGTCGGGACTTCTGAGAAGTTGTCTAAGTAAGCCTTCGCCGAAGACATATAACACCCTCTAGAAGAAACCCCGCCACCTTTTGGGTGGGCCTCCTCCTTCTCACTTCCGCCCATCGCTCGCTGCTGACCGTGGATCTGGCGCGTGAGCGCCAGATCCACGTCCGGAAGTGACGTGCTGAGCGGCAGCGTTTTTCGGCGAACGCCTTAATGCAACGTATCCAATGTATCCAAAAAGTCCATACTTGCAACAGATTGTATTGTGTTACATTATTATGTTTCCCCCCCCCCCTGGGAGCTGCGCCACACCGCCGGACCAAAATGACCCCCCCCCTTCAGGGGCCCTAACAACCTACAAAACCTATGACAAATCAACAAATTCGGCCTCTTGGGCCTCTTGGGCCTCCACGAGGGCCTCAAAATGGCCCTAAGACGGCCCAAGATATCCCCAACGGGGGCCCATGAGGCCCCCAAGACGGCCCCAAGAGGGCCCCAAAAACTCCAAGGACGGCCCAACAGGGCCCAAGAGCGCCCATAACTGCGCCTCCAGAGGCCGAAATCATTGATTTCCCGATGGTTCTTGCAATATTTTAGCGTTCTCGTTTTCTTCAGGTTTCAAACATCCATGACGGCCCAAGCAGCTTCCAGAGTCGCCCCAGAACAGCCCAAAAATCCCCCAAGAGGGCCCCAAGACGGCCCAACAGGGCCCCAAAACGACCCAAAGAGGCCCCCAAGACGGTCCAAGAGGCAGCGAAGACGGCCCAAGAGGACCACAAGAGGGCTCCAATGCGGCCGCGAGAGGCCCCCAAGACAGCCTCCGAGGGGGCGAAACGGCGCAAAAGCGCCCCAAGACGGCCCAAGACGCCCCCAAGAGGCCCCAAGAGGCCCCCAACAAGCCTCCAAAAAGTCCCCCAGAAGCCTCCAAAAGGCCTCCAACAAGCCCCCCAAAGGCCACACAGCGACTGGTCTGTGATGATATTTTCCCCCCTCTGGGCGAACTGCGGCGCAGCGCCAGCCAGGTGGAAGTTGGTCACTGCGGCGCCCATGATTGGAGCCGGCGATGGACGGGAAGATGGGGAGGGTGTATGAAAAGGAAGGAGGAGGGAAAGCCCCCAAAAAAGCCCCCAAAAGGCCAAAAGAAACTCCCAGGAGGCCTCCAGGAGGCCCCCAAAAGGCTCCCAAGAGGCCCCGCGACGACGTGACTGTACGTGCTCCGGACGTGCACCCCGCGAAGCGAGAGGAATCCACGGATCGGGGCTGCCGAGCCTCCCGTCCTGACCAGGGACCGACCGTTCCGGCATTCCTATAGTCCTACCACGAAGTGTTCTTAGAACCCCCAAATGTTCTAAGAACGGAAACAATGTTCTTAGAACATAAACCCGATGTGATACAACAAGACAAACTCCGCCAGAACTGTTCTAAGAACATTTCGTGGAAACCACAAAAGGTTCTTAGAACATTCTTTGGTGGGGCTATAGGCGAGCCAAGACGCTTCGCCACTGCTTGACCGTCGTGCTCTTCGCACAGTGCGACGGGTTGGCTTTCGCACCGCAGCTCGGGCCGCAGGCGGCCGTCCGGGACGACTCTCTGGCATGCCCAGCACGCCCTCGCTGCGAGGCGGGTCTTTATCCGCATCCACCGCCTGGGAAACGACGTCCTGGTGCCCCGGCGTCCTTTCCCTGTCCCCCCCCTCTGCGTTCGGCCCGGGTCGTGCCCCTTGAGCAGGGACCGACCGCCCCGGTATTCCCATAATCCTACCTATACGACCACCCTTCGGGTGATAAGGACGCTCGGGGGGGGGAGCCAACGTCTCACTCAATCGGTCTCACTATCGATCTCAGTATCGATCTCACTATCGGTCTCGCTCGATCGATCTTACTTGATCGATCTCACTCGATCTATCTCATTCGATCGATCTCACAATTGATCTCACAATCGATCTCACAATCGATCACACAATATATCTCACATTCGGTCTTAATATCGATATCACTATCGATATCACAATCGCTTTCACAATCAACGTCATCATCATCACCATCATCAACAGCATCAACATCAACACCGTCACCATCATCGTCATCATCACGAGGGCACACTCATCATCATCATCCTAAACATCATCATCAACGTCAGCACCATCATCGGGACATCATCATCATCACCATCACCATCATCATCACATCAACAACATCATCATCATCATCATCATCATCATCATCATCATCGGGTACAGTCATCGTCATCATCATCATAATCATCATCATAATCGGGACACCAGCATGATCACCATCGTTCTCATCATCAGCATTATCATCAACATCGTCATCATCCTCGGGACACCATCATCATCATGATCATCACATCATCATCAACAACATCATCATTGGGGCACCATCATCATCATGAGCAACATCATCATCAACATCGTCATTATCATTGTTATCATCATCGAGACACCATCAGCATCACCATCATCATCATCATCACCATCATCATCAGCATCGCCATCGGGACACCATTATCATCATCAACATCATCATCAACATCATTATCGCCGGAGCACCAGTTCCATCAACATCATCATCACCAACATCATCGGAATCATCATCATCATCATCATCATCATCATCATCATCATCATCATCATCATCGGGACACCATCATCGTCATCATCATCAACATAATCATCATGAGCATCATCATCCTCATCATCGGGACACTATCATCATCATCGACACCATCATCAACATCATCATCATCTTCATCGGGCATCATCATCATCATCATCATCATCATCATCATCATCATCATCATCATCATCATCATCATCATCATCATCATCATCATCATCATCCTCGCGGGACACCGCGGGACACCGGCGGGACACCGCGGGACACTGCGGGACACCGCGGGACACCGCGGGACACCGCGGGACACCGGCGGGACACCGCGGGCCACCGGCCGCCCGGAAGGGAGACATTTTGTCCGGCCGCGCCTCCCTCAGCCACACGGGACACCAGCGGGACACGGGCGGGACACCGCGGGCCACCGACCGCCCGGAAGGGAGACATTTGGTCCGGCCGCGCCTCAGCCACAGGAGACTTTCTCTCGCCCGCCCAAGCAACTTCTCCTCGCCCGCACGGCACGCACGAACACGAAACCGAAATCGATTTCCCGGTAGGGGGGCTCTCCGTTCCACTTCGATCTCACCCCCCAACCTCCGACCACGGAATGTTCGTAGAACCCCAAAATGTTCTAATAACAAAGCCAGTGTTCTTAGAACATGAGCCCGATGTGTTCAAACAAGACAGTCCCCGCCAGAAATGTTCTAAGAACATTTCGTGCAAACCACAAAAGGTTCTTAGAACATTGCTCGGTGGGGCTATAGGCGAGCCAGGACGCTTCGCCACTGCTTGAGGATCGGGGCTGCCGAGCTTCCCGTCGTGCCCTTCGCACAGCGCGACGGGTTGGCTTTCTCGGACCGTATAGCTCGGGCCGCAGGCGGCCGTCCGGGAACTCTGGCATGCCCAGTTACCGCCCTCGCTGCGAGGCGGGGATTTATATCCGCATCCACCGCCTGGGGACCGACGCCCTGGTGCCCCGGCGTCCTTTCCCTGTCCCCCCCCCTGCGTTCGTGAAGGGGCCCCAGGGCAAACAAACAAATACACACAAACAAAAATATTCCCCATACTTTCCCATATTTTCTGGGTTTCTGTCTTCCCCCCCACTTCCCATATTTTTCCATATTTTCTGAGTAATTGAGGATTCATTGTGTCTGAGTGTTTTTTCCTCTCCTGAGTTCGGCCCGACACGTGCCCCGTTCTCTCAGTGCCCGCTCCGATGCGGACCCGGCCCGTGCCCGCGGTCCTTCTGCGATAGGGGCGGCGGGGGGGGGGGAAGCGAGGGGCTGGCACGTGGCAAGTGTATAGCCCTTTTATCCCCCCCCCCGGCCAGACGGGGGAGAGAATGGGGGGGGTGGGGGGGGCGGGGGTGGAGGGGGGAGGAGGGGAAGGGAGGGGGACGGGGGGCGAGGTGAGGGGGAGGAGGGGAGGAGGGGCGGGGAGGGGGAGGAGGGGAGAGGGGGGAGCGGAGGGGGGGGGGGGGGGACTGCATGGAAGGATTGTCTGGGACGCACCTGGGCACGAAAGGAGGGGATGGGGGAGTTGGGCAGCTGAGGGAGGAGAGGGGGATGATGATGACGATGAAATGGCGACGACGATGACGATGACGATAACGATGACGATGACGATGACGATGATGATGATGATGATGATGATGATGATGATGATGACGATGACGATGACAATAATAATACTGATGATGATGACGATGATGCTGATGATGTTGATGATGATAAAGATGATGATTATGATGATGGTGATGATGCTGATGATGATGATGATGCTTTTGATTATGACGATGATGACGATGATGACGATGATGATGAGGATGATGATGCCGATGATGATGCTTGTGATGATGACGAAAATGAAGATGATGATGATGAGGATGATGATGCTGATGATTATGTCGATAATGATGATACTGATGATGATGATAATAATGATGTTGATGTTAATGTTGATGTTGATGATGTTGATGTTGATGTTGATGCTGTTGATGATGATGAGTATGATGATGATGTTGATGATGATGCTGATTATGATGATGCTGATGATGATGATGATGATGATGAAAATTAAGATGATGATGATGATGATGCTGATGATGATGATGATGATGATGATGATGATAAGGGTGGAGGCGGAGGAAGGAGGAATGAGAAAAGAGCAGGATGAGGAGGAGAAAAGAGGAGGAGAACGGATGAAAGCGGGAGAATGATGATAATGGAGGAGGGTGATGTTTAGAGGGTGATGGTTCGAGAAATGAGGAGAAGGAGAAGGATAAGGATGAGGAATCGGAGGAGGAGGAGGAGGAGGAGGAGGAGGAGGAGGATAGGACAGCGAGGGAAGAAATGGATGATGATGGAGGAGGATGGAGGACGGGTCCGGGTAAGGGAGGATGATGGATGGGGAGAGGGAGGAGGACGATGGAGGAGGGTGAGGAAGGAAGCGAAGAGAGGAGCAAGAAGCGAGCGAGGAAGCTCAAGATTAAGGAGGGGGTGAGGGAGGATGATGAGGCCCCTCCCATCGTTCATCCTCCTCATTATCCCTTCTCATCCTCAACATCTGTCCTGCTCCCTCCGCCTCCATCCAGTCTCCCTCCACCGACTCCTCCTCCTCCTCCTCCTCCTCCTCCTTCCTGTTCCCTCCTGCTCCTCCTGACTCTCCTGCTCCTCCTCCGCCTCCTCCTCCTCCACTTCACGTCCGCCTCCCCCGCAAGACAAGCCATCCGTACACATATATTCATAGACCTATATATATATATATATACACACAACTTTGTAAATCCGTACATGTGCAATGTATACTGAACTTGCACGTGTGCACACACACACACACCACCGAGCCAAGCCATGCCGACCCCGGGCGCCCGAGCGACGTGCCTCAGCTCTGGCTGCACGTGCGTGCGCCTCCCCCCGGGGACCCTTCCATTCTCCCGCTCCTCCTGCCCAGGGAGGGCCCACGCCGAGAACTTATGACTGCACCCGTCTGGGGTGCTCGACACTGATCGGGTTCCTCCTCCTCCTCCTCCTCCTCCTCCTCCTCCTCCCCTGGCCCAAGGTACCCCCCAGGATTCGCGGGGTGTCCCAGACGGCCTCCAGGCACCCCTCGCGAGGCCCAGGGGGCCCCAGGGGCCCAGAAAGGGAGCGAGAAGCTGGGGGCACCTGGGGCCAGGGGCACTTCTGGCAACACCCGAGCTGAGCCGACGTGTACGAAGGAGCCCCGGAGTGGGTGACTGTATACGGCGACGCGAAGCCCAGCAGCGTCGCATCTCGTCACCGACGCCCGCCGCAAACTTCTGCAGCACAGCAGGCATTGAGATTGGGATTGGCCCGTGATGCGCCCCTCTGGACGTATTTTGCGTTGGTCGGAGGGCCCTACCGTGAAGACGTTACAGAGCATGGCGACGATCTGCCACCGCCAAGGTCCCTTCATATCAATGCAACCACGCGCGAGCACTACAGGGCGCCCCAAGATTGCCGCCCCTAAGGACGTCGTCGTCCTCGGCGCTCCACTCCATCTGTTCAAACGCCCCATCTTCAGCATCAGGCAGAGGAGGAACGTCGCTGCCACCTGTCACTGGGTGTGCGGGGAAGAGGGATGAGACGCGAGCAGCAGGATGATGGAAGAAGCAATACAGCCGGACAGCCGGCGCGGATTAGTAGGTCGACCCTGACAAATCAAGGGTACCTTTGTGTCCTGTGTCTCGCGACCCATCCCTCCTACATTTCTGTGGCAATGTGGCCCTTGGAAGGGTCTGGTGTCCTCTCGCCTGTCCTGTCCAGTGAAGGCAAACCGACTGGAGTGCGTGAAAGAGAAACGCGGAACGGGAGAGGAAGGAGGAACAAGAGCGGGAGGGAAGAGGAAGAAGCAAAGTGCAAAGGGGGAACCGTGAGGGAGGCAGGGAAGAGGTACAATGACACCAAAGAACTCTCGAGCTGCAACTGCGCAACTCCTGTTCTCTGTTCTGTGTGTATGCGTGTCGGCCCGCGTGCTCCCGCCTGACTTGACGTGCGCCGCGCCGCTGCGCCGCCACGCTCAGAAACGTGTTTGTGATTGCGTGTGTGTTCCTGCTGTTGCTTTCGCTGTGTTGGACCAGCCGGCCGCGAAGCGGCCAGTGCGTGTGCGTGTGCGTGTGAGCATGTAAGTGTGCGGGGGAGGGGCGAGGAGGAGGAGGAGGAGGAGGAGGGAGGAGGAGGAGGATGAGAAGGAAGAGGAGGAGGAGGAGCAGGAGGAGCAGGAGGAGCAGGAAGAGGAGGAGGAGGAGGAGCAGGAGGGGAGAGGAGGAGGAGGAGGAGGAGGAGGAGGAGGAGGAGGAGGAGGAGGAGGAGGAGGCGGAGGCGGAGGCGGAGAAATGTGTGTGTGTGTGTCCACCATCTGGGGCGCAGGCCCGGGCCACTCCCTCGGGGACCAGCCGCCCTCTGGGCCGCCGCCGCTCCCGGCGCCCCGCCCTGCCCCCTTCTGGCCCTCGCGGCTCCCTCGGCCTGCGACCGCGTGCTCCGCCGCCTTCGTCGCGCTCTCCCCCGTCGCTCCCTTGACGCGCTCCCTCGTCAGTCCACGCTTGCTTTCGGGAGCGGCCAAGAGGGGGGTGTCCAAAAAGGGGGGGGTGCAAATCATGACCGGCGGCATGTGCGCGGCCCCGCGGGGGGGGGGCCGGGACCGTATTGAAATAAGAAGAGGCGCCATGAAACCTAGGGAAATATCATGTCCCCCGCCATGATATCCACCCCCCCCGAGTCATCACCCCGCTCTTTTCCGCCCCCGATGCTTACTCGCTCTCCCCGTCTTCCGGTCCCGGTTGGCCTACGTGGGTCATTCTCCACCCCCACCACAGCCACGTCTACCACCCCCACCCTCCCCCGCCATCCATGCCCGAGCGGCGGTGGCTGACGCCAGCTGCGAGGCCCTGAACGGTCTGAGTGCTTGGCCCGGCGTGGACGCGCGCGCTTCACTGCCTGCGCCCGGCTTTCCACGCTCCGTCGCGGCGACCGAGGCCGCGACGCAAAAAGCGCGTGCGTGTATGTGTATATATGCGGGTTTGTGTGTATGTGTGTGCGCGTGTTAGTGTGTGTGTGTGTGTGCGTGTGTGGTGTGGGTGTGGGTGTGTGGGTGTCTGCATGTGTGTGTGTGTGTGTGTCTGTGTGTGTGTGTGTGCGTGTTAGTGCGTGTGCGTGTTTGTGTGTGTGTGTGTGTTTGTGTGTGCGCGTGTGCGTGTTAGTGTGTGGTGTGTGTGTGTGTGTGTGTGTGCGTGTGAATGTGTGTGTGTGTGTGTGTGTACGTGTGTTGTCAGTGCGTGTGGTGTGTGCGTGTGTAGGATTCGGTCGGGCACGCCCCCCTACGGGCGTATTCTGGACGAACAATTCAAAATAGTCAAACATACCTCGCAATGGTGAAGAATAGTAAAGAAATCGCCCCAAAAAGATTTTTTATTATTTTTGAATGCCCCTCCTGTAGAAACACAGGCCCGACTGAAATGTAGGAGGCCCCAGAAACTGCCGGAAGACTTCGAATTCCGCGCCGCTCGGCGGCATCGGCGGGAACTCCCGCCGCCGAGGAGGACGGGCGGCAGCGGTGCTCCCCCTGCTGCGGCGGGGGGGGGGGCAACCCCGCGGCCGCCTCCCGCGGGGCGTGCGAGCCGGACAAGAGGGAGGAGGGAGGACGGAGGAGGGAGTAGGTGGAGGAGGAGGAGGGAGGATGATGATGAGGAGGAGGAGGAGAAGGAGGAGGAGAAGGGGGAGGTGGAGGGGGAGGAGGGAGGAGGAGGGGGAGGAGAAGGGAGGAGGATGATCAGAGGAGGAGGAGGAAGAGGAGGAGGAGGAGGAGGAGGAGGAAAAGGATTTTTTGTTAACGCTCGACCTCTGCTTGACCCCCAACGAGTGGGGACCACCTCTCCTCACAGCACAGTCCAGGGAGAGGGCAAAAACTGTACGTTCTTCTCCCTCTTGATCTGCTGCGGGTGTCGGCCTTGGATTACAAAGTTCCAGGCCGTAAGTCCTGCCCCTGTCTTCTTACAGGAACAGGGTTCACCCAGTTTCTTGACGCGGCCGCCTGTGCTGTAAGAGCCGCACCGACGGCAGATACAGAGGAAAGAGCCGCCCGTGCAGTCCAACAACGCACAAAGATGGTTGAACTGCTCAAGGAGGCTCGGGCACAGGCGGGGAGGCACAACACAGTGGCCAGGCGCTGGGCGCGCCTGACCTCGCTTGCCTCTCAGACACGTGCTGCACTGCCAAAACTCCCCAGACCAACACCACTCGTGGGGCGTCTTCGACGACTGAGCTGGTGGGGCCTGGGGCTCGATGAATTGAACGCCAGATAAGTCGAGCCGCGGCCAGCGCGGCAAAAGCTTGGTTGCCAAGAGGATGACAGCCCTCGCAATCCTGATCTCACGCTCGACGCGAGACAGAACGTCAGGGTTGGCTTGGGGATGGACACTTGCGCCCCGCTTAGCCGCGAGGTCGGCATGAAAGTTACTTGTCCTCCGCCAAGCCTCCTGAGCAGAAATCCCTGCTTCATCTACAGCTTTGTGCGCGGCGACTTTGACCGGGCCCTGGAGGAGGGGGCCAGCACCCACGAAGGCTTCCAGGACCGAGCCCGCGCAGGCCCTATGCCCCCCCAGGCGGTCCCGAGGCGCCCTGGAACACACAGAAATAACCGACGCACAATCCGAAAAAAGAGTCGCTGGCCAATCTAAATTGACACCAGCAGCAGCCAGTGCCGTGAACTCACCAGCCTGCGAGGACTGCGGCAAGTGAGAAAAGACAGGCCCTATCACTCTGGCCAAGAGATGGCTCTGATCAGACAACAGCGCAAAAGCCCAGCCAGCTCTGGACAATTCGCGAATCTTAGACTAAAAACAACTGCCGCCCAGGAACAAACTGCCTTCAAAGCGAATGTTCTCGGGCCCTTGGAACTCCAAGCCTGAACCCTGGAAACCTTCCTGGAAGAACTCCATCTTGACAGCGTCCGGGTCCTGCTGGCTGACTGGTTGCGGCGCATAGTCGCCAGGATGCGCATAGGCACCCGTCGAGAAGTTCAAAAGGTCCCCAGAGTTCTGGTCACGCGCGTCCCTGGCCCAAGAGATGACCTCCTCATCCACCAGCTCCTTCCTTTCCTCCATGCATGCTTCACACTCCCATAGTCTATGAAAGACAGAATCCACCTTAGTGTGACACAGCGGGCACAGAGGGCACACTTGGTAGCCACACCTTAGTGCACGGGAGTTGGTCCACTAGGCACTGCAGGTAAGGGCACGAACGGAGCCTTTTTCCCAGGCCGAGAGTTTTTTCGAGCGGAGACCAGCCGTGACGACATCGAAACAAAGGCGATCCGATCCTTCCAGGTCGGGGGGCTTCCGATCGGGGGCCAACTCCACGGCAGCAGGCTGATCTAGGCCTTGGGCAGGCTCTGGCGGAGGAGCTCCACCGCCACAAAAGAGATCGCCGCCCACCAGCTTGCCGTAGGCCGCTCTCTCGAGCTGGCGCAGCGCAGCCTGGCGCAGCAGAACCTTGAAAAACGCTGGCGAGAGCTGCGAACAGGAGAGCTCTCGACCCATATCATCAGTGAAAACTACCATGTTCTCCATATCCCATCCAATCCCCCTGAGACTCATGAACATGGCACTCATCGGTCCCGAGACGCTCCTCCAAGTGACAGATTGCTGACGACTGCGGAAAACGCTTTCCCAGGAAGCCCGAATGGTAGCCCAGTCCAAGGTACCTGGAAAAGCACTGGTCCTGAGAAGCCAGACCTCTTTGATGTAGCGCAGCACGGGCGCAACCGAGCCGTGCCAAACAGGGCCCCCTTCAATGAGCGACAGCACCGTCAGCGATCTGCGGGCGGCATCTGGCTTGATGGAGCTGGCCGCCACACGCCGAAGACTGTGCACCTCTCCGTCCGTGGGGCCTTGAACTTCGCATCCATAAATAAATCCAGGCAACGGGCCAGCAGAGAACACCTTGATAGCTTGCCTCCCAAAGTGAGAACGGAACCGCTTCAAACGAGTAGCCTTGCGCTGCATCTTGATCTTCCACTCCTGACGCTTCCTCATCCTCCCCTTGCCCGCCCTGAAACACTTCCCAGCCGCGTCGTCGCAGCCGAGGTTGATGGCGGAGGTGCCCAGTGCGCCGAAGGGGCCAAGATCAGCCTCCAGCAGCTGGCCCAGGGCACCACAGGAGCACACTAGGGCAACCTTGTCGAGAGCGACACGGCCGCCTAACATCTGCCTGATACCCGCCATCAGCAGGGGTGCCATGTTCAGGATGGTAGCTCCAACGAAGGACCTGGAACCGGTTGCCGAGATGCCGGCGTCATCGACGTAGGCGTCGAAAGAGGAAAACTCCGAGGACTCCCGATCGATGCGGTGCAGGCTGAGCGAACGAGGAACGGTGTCGAAGGCATCGAGGGCGTAGACGCGGATGAGAGATGTGGCCATGCTGCAGCCCGCGATAATGCCGTGAGTGGCCCTCAGAGGGCCAGAGGTGATGCCAGAGATGCAGATGCATCGTGCCGACTGACATGCCGCCAGACACATATGCAGGACTCCCAGAGGAAACTGATGCCTGCGACCTCTAAGTTCC